GGGATTTGAACCCACGCCCTTTCGGACCAGAGCCTAAATCTGGCGCCTTAGACCACTCGGCCAAATTGTCCACTTGCTGGAAATGGAAATAGAAAAGTTCACTGAGAGAACGCTCGTATGGTTATATTTATTGGAAAAATAAAACAAATGTGGCAGCTGTGAGGTTTGAACCGGTTATAGTTATTGAAAAAAAAATACAAAAATAAGAATGTGACAACTGTGGGATTTGAACCCACGCCCTTTCGGACCAGAGCCTAAATCTAGCGCCTTAGACCACTCGGCCAAATTGTCCACTTGTTGAAAGTGGAAATAGAAAAGTTCACTGAGAGAACGCTCGTATGGTTATATTTATTGGAAAAATAAAACAAATGTGGCAGCTGTGAGGTTTGAACCGGTTATAGTTATTGAAAAAAAAATACAAAATTAAGAATGTGACAACTGTGGGATTTGAACCCACGCCCTTTCGGACCAGAGCCTAAATCTGGCGCCTTAGACCACTCGACCAAATTGTCCACTTTTTAAAAATGGAAATAGTAAAGTTCATTGAGAGAATGCTCGTATGGTTATATTTATTGTAAAAATAAAACAAATGTGGCAGCGGTGGGATTTGAACCGGTTATAGTTATTGAAAAAAATACAAAAATACAAAAATTAATATATAATATTAATATTCAATAATTAAAAATAAAAAAATAGAAAGAGTTATTAAATATTAAATAAAGTTAATATAGGCCTATTAAATAAAATATATTTAAAATTAAAGGAATTTAGGATTACAAAAAAAAAATATTCGAAAAATACCTTTTTACACGGTGGCCGACATGATTCTGGTAATGTGATAGTTGAGGGCCGACAGAAGCCCAACGTGGTCACCTCCTCCCAATTAATTAAACTTAAAAAAAGAGAGGGAAGCTCCACCGTTCTTACTGTGCGTATTCGGGGTGGGGTCCACGGAATATAGACCGTCTGATTAGATTAGTGGTAGAGTCAGATGAGAGTTACGGTGGTGTGCGAAGTAGAGGATTGAGGGTCTGTTTTGCAAGGAAAGAAAAAGTTGGGGGGGGGGGGG